ATGAAGGGATGAGTCTTAAACCCCGGCTTAAGATTTATCAGCCACCAGATGATAAATCAGTGCAGCCTTCTATGACACCCACTGAGTGCAAAGGTCTGAGATAAAACATTAGAAATCCATGATGCAAATCGATTTCCTTTAGATCCTGACACATGTGCAGTCTAATATCATCCAATCCATCGCTGAGAATATATACCATTTTTGAGGGCCATGGTTAACCTTAGAGGAAAAATCATATGTAAATATTATTATTGATTAAACATTAATAGAATATGAATGCAAATGTCCTGCAAATATAATATGTTCAGAATAGTAACCACAAAATCAAAAGAATATAAGGAGGTAAAATAATTTTTAATTTTTAATCCTACCACATAGTCTGACCTGTAAAACAATCTAATCAAATTGGGTTTGAATTGTTGTTTTTTGAAGGTCCAGCATGCTCTCCTTACAAGTCAGCTGGAAGGTGAGTGTGGAGGGATGTCAATGCCTAAATAAGGAAACCCAAACATGACTGATTTAGGGATACAGAGGGGAACAGATTTTGCTCTAGCTGTGGAATTCAGAGGCACACAAACTGATTTTGCTAGAAAAAAAGTGATTTCAACATTAAACATTTTGCAAAACGTCTAATATCAGAAGGTATGAACACACGTTCAAGTAAGTCTTTAGCTTAAGAAAGAGAGGATTTCCATTTCATTCTAATCTTTATGAAAGGGGAACCTATTGCTCTTGACAACATTTACAGAAATAATCTGCTTTAATTTTTACTATAAGCGCTGCGTTTACAGTACTTTTGCATTGTGATAGCTATTTTTTTTAGACTTAACAAGCTAATAGCAAACAAGTACGTGCATTTCCCAATGGGCAAAGGTTAGAATGAGGTCACAACAGACAGGTTGCTTCACAAAACACAGCAAAGTCCCTATATGTTACAGTACTTAAATGCTTCCTCAATATTATGTCATTCTGAATCAGTTCACAACCTGATGGTTTTTCACCTCTACAGAAACCTGTTTGAAAATAGTAAAATCCACATACAGCGGAAGTGTAACAGAGGTCCAGTGTGCTAAGTTAAGCTCTTAAATGCATTTATAAAGTCAGTTCTCTTTGTCCAATCTGCACCTAAAAACTGGTTTCACAACAACAAACCTTAATCTTGGCAGCTTATATAATTAGGATTTAGCAAGCCTTGCTTCATATTTCCTGAAAGTGCTGCTTTTTCAATGGAATCCTTTGGTTGACGAGCAGGTGAGCAGACCTGCTCTGACTCGATATTTAGCAGAGGTTCTGACTCGATATTTAGCAGGAGGTTTCTGGTGAATCGAGGAGAAAATAGTGACCTTCATGCACAGCTCAGCACGTTTCAGTCCATCAGAGAATATTTCCCAAAGGAGGCATTCCATACTGCTTCCCTCCACCTCACCACAATGACCTCCTCATTTAGAAAAGCAAAACCTAAGGTCTGCCAAAGCATAGGTAGAATGTATTTATACAGCCAAAGGCTCTTCTGTCCAGGGACCTTCAGTTAACATGGAAATAAGCTTTGGCCTCTCCCTCTGAAGGTAGAGAGGGGATATGAATTTGTTTTACAATAAAAAGTCAGGCTATACAAGATGTTCTTAAATTCTTACTACAGACCAGTCCATAGTCTTTACCAGGAGAAATCTTTGATCAGAATAGGTCTAATAATAAACAAAGCAATCAAGTGCAATGATTTAAATGTGATGATGCTTAAGGATAGTTTGTTATGTTTACAATTCCTCGTCTTTTTTTGTGAAACCTTCTGCGTTCTTGCACAATAGCCTATGAAAAGGAATAAAACTAAACCATCAAGGTGCTTTGGCTAAAGCCCTCCAAGCCTGATGCAGGCTAAACAGTGAATGCTCTGCAATTGGTAATGTTGTTCTGCCAGATGAGAAGAAAAACATAATGCTGGCAGAATATGCATCAGCGCAATTAAGAATGTATTCATCTTTGTTTAAGAAGCTAGCACTGAACCCTTTTGTAAAAAACATTCTGCAGGACAAGAAATCTGCACCACTGTCTGGATGTGGGAGGTGTCTGGCAGACTTGTTAAAATCCTTGGCCCTTTTTAAAACGGAAAAGTTGCAGTTCAACACAGCAGAAGTAAAGCAGTTATTTGTTTACCCTTCCAGGCTGCTCTGAGAGTAGAGAAAAGGTTAAAAGGGAGGTTCCGGGTGGAGTAATTCTGGTAAACAAGCACAACGCATAATTTAATAATGGTTGAGTCTTGGTTGGCCCATTATTAACATGTATTACTGGAATCCCAATATCACTACCTGTTTGACAGGCACATGGATCCATTTCTTTATGTTGAAGGGAAGAATCAAGAAATCTAAATATTAAGAACATTACAGCAGGGTTATTTGCTTTTTACTCAGTGACATATAGAGCAATAAGCTATTTTTTTAATGTAACTAAGAGGAGAGGATACCACAATCACAGATCTTTCAAAACTTGCAACTTCCTCTAATAATCAGCATCTTTAGGGACTATTAAGAAGTATTCATTACTCTTATAAGTACCACTTGTTATAAGTCAAAAGTTTATATGCTACAACATAATATACAGTATATGAAAAGACAAATTTCTCAGGAAATTTTCAAATTCAGCTAGATAGGACATAAAGAAAGTTTGAAAGGAGGCCTTACTTCTCATGGAGAACACCAATTTAAGATTTACTAGAAATATGCTTGGCCAGAAATAGTAAATTTTATGCACTAGTGCTTCATTTTAGTTTGGATTTTGGTCTGTTTTAAGGAGCCATCTAAATAAAGGACTGAGTAAACTTCAAAGAAACCCCCAATTACAGTAGCATTCCTCAAGCATCCAGAGAACTCCACACCTTCCTCAGCTAAAGTTCCAGATCACACAGGCTTCTGCCCGGAGGCCTTTCAGTCTTGCACAGACCTGCACACATTCCTGACTCGCCAGCATGTTTTACCTTCATATTTTCTCTCATACAAGATCAAACTGAGAATTTGCCTACTTACTGTACTTTGCATACAAAAGAAGTAATGGTTTTGAATGCAATCAAAAGGGGCTTTAGATCACTTGTATGGCAAATACAGTCAAAAACAAAAGGAGAGAGGACCTTCCCAGTAGTGACTAAACAGACAAATAATTATTCTGAAAGCTACTATTTTGTGAGCGTCAGCTGACAGTTTGACTTCCAAAAGGTTAATTTTATACTTAAGTGAAATGTTATGGGCCAGCGCAGTGGTTAGCATGGCATGCCTCTCAAAAATGTATCCCTTAGTGTAAGTACTGTACGTTCGTGTTTGTGTACATGTGTGCCCTGCGATGGACTGGTGTCCCATCCAGGGTGTTTCCTGACTTGCACCTGTTGCATGCTGGGATAGGCTCAGGCTCCCCTGCAACCCTAAATTGGATGGAGACATTAGAAAATGAATGGATGGATAAAATGCTCCGGTGTCAGCTCAGTATTAGTTAATGCGAATTCATGCAAAATTTACATCGCCAGTCAGGCAAGAGAAAAAAACAATCATCTAACTGTGCCATTTAAAAAAAAGACAACGTGAAGCATTTCTGAATCATATCCTAGAGAACCACACTCAAACCCGAGTCCAGGGCAGGAAGGCACCAGAAACACTCTTATAAGGGTGGATTTACAAGACAGGATGCCCAACTCCCTTCCACACTCGCTAGGGCGCCTGGATGAAATCCATACAAGGGAGAATGCAGAATCCCCACATTCACTCTAGCTGGGACTCAAACCCAGGACTGCAATGCTAACTCCACTGTTTCCTTGCTGCCCTTATTTCAAAATACCTGAGGCTGTTATCACCGTTGGTTTTTACTCCAAACAGGATCTTGGGTAAATAACTGCGGCTTGGTACAACAGATTAGGTGCTATTAACAGAAGTGTGCATGAACTGCCCAAGTCTTCTAGAACTGTGCGTGCTCTAAACAATTTAAAACCCAGTGTCAACCGAGCTAGAATGTTATTGAATTACACTGCAAATCTTCAAAACAGACTGGCTATTGTCTGACATTTATCTCCTAGTTAAACGAGAGATTACTACAGTACACCACAAATAAACAATCACCTGTTTACAGGCGATTACAACAGGTACAACGGTCCTCTCCTGGCATGCCTTGTGTAATGTGGCACAGTTTTGTCCCCTGCTACTGCAGTAATGGCGGTCCATTATAATGTGCTAGTCTAGACTAATCAAGGTGATAAATAAGCACTCCCCTTCACGGTACTACTGTACATCTTAGTCACCTGTACGTAATGGTGTGACACTCGAAGAGTGTTTTAAAACACACCTTTCTGGTGACCACCATAATGTCATTTGGGGGACGGAAATAAAAAGGCTGTAAAGCAATAGCACAAACGCCTACAGACATGTGCAATCAGCAGCATAAAGCGATTTAATGACAGGAGGTGACGCCCACATTAAACAGGCCATCACTCTACACACTGGAATTCACAACAGTCCCGTTTTCTTAACAAGCACGATCCAAGGTTATGAAAGTAGCTCTCTGCATATGCTTCTACCCCGTCGCTACGCTATTGTACGTGTCTAAAAGCTGGCAGAGTACATGAGGGAAAGACTCGACATTATCCAGGACGGGCCCAAAATAGCCCTGTACTGCGCATAACCACTAGACTTCATCTTTCACCTAGAGACACCTAATTGATTGCAACAGGTCACACCTTATATTGCTAAGACTGGTGGAAGTGCAAGCGACTGTTACGTGGCATGAAAAAAACTGATGGCTTTTTGTATTTACAGTTTATTTTATCCACTTACATCTGCAGTTTCAATACATGCAAACAGTTGATGCCGATGACTGTTTTTTTGGGGTTAAATTGTCCCACCTTGACAATTACAGCTTCGAAATATTTTATTCGTCAATACTGTTGCTACTAGACTGTGCCTTTTTTGAAGATAAATGAACGAATACCATGCAAACTAGAGCATGTTATTTAGCAGTTAGTATTCCCTTCTCATAACCAAATTAGACGTTCTGAAAAGAAAGTGGTAGTCTATACTTGGAGGATGCTTTACTGTAGTATATCGCGATGTTATTTTAAAGAAGGCACACTATACTGCCTAAAGCTACGCTAGGTCTACATACTGAAGTTGGCACTTGTACAACAGTCAGGTGCTACTCCATGGTGTGAATAATCGAAACAAATATATACAGAAATACAAGGTACTTACACAGATGGAGAAGGAATCAGGTTGACATCTTCGGCAGCGTCATAAAACTCTTCTGTGTCACTGGTGTCTGACGCCATTTAGCTCATGCAAAAGCCCCCCGAAATAACCCCGTTTTCCACTGAACTCTTCTGAATGTTCGGCAACGGAAATGAAAGTGACAGAGAAAAAAAAAGAAATGCCACCCAATCAAACACGGGGTAACTCCAAAATGTTCCTGTCCCTTTATTTCCCAGTCCAGGTAGATGGAAGGGAGAGGCCTCGTCCTGTCACAAATGTATGAAACGGACAGAAACCAGGCTGGGCTCTGCTCAAGATCACATCAGATCGTTTTAAAATACCGTGCACAGCTGCTATCGGGCTCCTCGCCTTATTCACGAAGATTTTGGAGCGGGTTTCCACCGGGCCTGTCTATGGGTCTGTGTTCATATTTCTGTAGACAGAAAGAAGGAAGACAAGCTGCGCTGTTTTTTTTTTTCTTTTTGCACCAACCAACACCAACACGTCAGTAAACCTCGCGAGAGTTCACAGCTTGACATGTCAGATGTGCCGGCCACTGCGAAGACTTCAGCTGGGCAGCAGTCAGCTGTCGCTTTACACCAAAACAACACGTCATCCTAGTAATAGGATTTTCTTCAGTACTGTTGGCATTTTGTGGAAATTGGACGGAGTATTTATCTAAACTGTAATTCCGGCGACGCCTGGTGTTTGTCACTTGACGTCAGTGATGCTGTAAAAGCTGCAAAAAAATTCCGAAGGCACGAAATCACGTGTGCAAAAACCACCACAAACCATACTTCAGTTTTTTTAAAACGACGAAAGTCGGTATTTTAAAACGACCACAAACCATACTTCAGTCTATCAGTTTTGGTCGCAGCGGAGCCGGAGCCTACAGTATATCAGCAAGCAATAGACAATATTCACCCTGGAATAACGCTAGCCCTTCCTAGCCACCAAAACACTTTTACCCTTATTTGATGTTTTTAGCTAGAAGAAGAAAATGGTTTCTAAAAATGGCTCCTAATAATGTTTATGGTTTAAATAATGCTGGTATTTTAATACGCCCTGTGAAAGGCATATGAATAAAAAATATGCACTTAAGTGGCGTGAAAGAAATGTGTTTCACTTCTTATTTGCTCCTTTATTTTGCCAGGTAAATCAGGTAGGAATGTGTGATTTTAAATGTATTTCCGCCAAACGTTTGGTTAATAAAAAAAGTTCTTGCTCACATACCAACTAATGATAATGAAATGAGATTTATTTTAGGGAATAAACTACGCAGCTGAGTGGCTGAAGCTGACACTCTAGCTTCTTTTCATAAACTAGTGGGGAAGATCATAGGTTCAATTAGCTACAAATTACCAAACGGGCTAGATGGGCTCAATGACCTCTTCTTACCTGAAACTCTTTTTTTCAGGTACAATACTCTGTGTAATAAGTGTGTAGCTAGTATGTAAAGTAATACTTATTTAAAAAAATCCCCTCAATTCTTATAAATTTTAAAGGTAATTCCTTATACAGTACCTTGACATTGTAACGGTGTTTTTAAAAAAGTTGCTTTCCAAAGTGTATCTACACCTGGTTTATGTGTTTCATTCCTGACAGCGATTCTTTCAATCAAGTTAAAGTTGCACCGCAGAAATCATTTTCTACATTGTGCAAATGTTTTATTTCTGAACTGTAATCCAGAACTATCCAAAGCAAATAAATAAGGTGGTCCTTCTGATATATGGTAACTAATGACTTATGTCCTAAAAACATGCTGTGACAGCATCATGCAAAAAGTTCGAGATCAGTGGTTCTTAACATTGGTCCAGGGGGAACACTATCTTCTGTTTTTTGTTAATCATAAGTTAATTGATTTCCTATTTTGTATATAGTTGTAAATTTGCTTTTATCTCTTTAAGGGTCAAAGGGGATTTGTAATGATTTTAAACTCTGTACCAGTTTCTGAAGTACAGAACTACTCTCGTCTAGGTGTGTTGCCTGAAATGTAACCAAATGGACATCCACAGAAACAAAAAATGCTCATGGTTGGAGTGTCTGTTACTCTAACTTGTGTCGGCTCATTATAAATTGATCAATTAGAAAGAGTTGTTCAGTCAGATTTAATGTGGGAGATTGGGGATCTCCGCGCAAAAAAACCACTCTAGATCTAAAAGGATCCTCAAGGACAGTCATGTACTGACTGAATAACACTCAATATTTCATTTGTTAGTAAATTTGTCGTGCGATGCAAATGAAAACTATCACCCATTACCATTATTTTTCTCCAGTTCGCTGTAACGAGATGGTAAACTTTCCATTACCAGAGTGGACCGAGGGCCGGTCACTCAGGCATGCTCTGTGTTTAAATTGGCTGAGCGATAACAAGGAAGACCCTCAAGATAACTGTCTCTTCTCAGTACTCATTACTTACGGGTCGGTCATTTATTTGCTGCAAAAAAACATTATGACAAAGTTATAATGTTATAACGTTTCAATTACGAATAAGATGTTCATGTCGGAAGAGGTTATTTCATTTTTACTGTAATACAAAGTCAGTCTCTTTTAAATAAATGAGGGGGACGCGAAAGCACTGAAATCAGTCTCGTCTCAGTGTTCTGTATTTACATTTACGCTTGTAAATGCTAATAGTGTGGATAGGGTTACCACCACTACCGTTCCCCTAAATGTGCCTTCTTCTACTGCACAACACCTTTCCCTAATAAGGTTTTTACTACACAGGTTCATCGTTAGATGGGGGCTAAAGTCTTTGCCCAGACCTGCCACTTGATCCTTTTCATGTGCTTTCTCACATTCCTTAATTCTCAAACCAGTCAGTTTCACATTACAGAAAAATCGTCGGATTTACATACTGTATTGCAGCTTCTAGTGGTTGTCTCTTTGTCTATACTGTTACATTCCACATCCCTCCTCTAGAGGGCGCTCCTACCCTTTTCTGTTATTAGTTTCTATTATTTCCTGGTGTGTATTTTGGTTAAAATACTAGGGCTCAGTATTGGAATCCTACCCTCGGGTCCAGGAGTGACCCGAGGGCATAGGCCTTCACCCTGCCATCCTGACCTTCTAAGTCTGGGGCTCAGAGCACCTGGTCCCGTTATGCTTTTAATTAATTAATTGCTTAGACATATATAGCGCTTTTCTGGACACTCCACTCAAAGGACTTTACAGGTAATGGGGACTCCCCTCCACCACCACCAGTGTGCAGCATCAACCTGGATGATGCAACTTCAGCCATAGTGAAGTCAACCACACATCAGCTCTCAGTGGGGAGGAGAGCAGAGTAATGAAGCTAATTCATAGATAGCGGCCTTAAGAGGCCATGATTGGTAAGGGCCAATGGGAAATTTGAGCAGGAGGCCAGGGTTACACCCCTACTGGTTTCGAGAAACGCCCTGGGATTTTTTATGACCACAGAGTGTCAAAACCTTGGTTTTACGTCTCATCCAAAGGATGGCCCCTGTTTATATTATAGTGTCCCTGTCACTATACTTGGGCATTAGGACCCACATGGACCGCAGTGTGACGCCCCCCTGCTGGCCCTACTAACACCTCTTTCAGCAGCAACCTTAGTTTTTCCCAGGTGGACTCCCATCCTGGTACTGACCAGGCTCACACCTGCTTAGCTTCAGTGAGTTGCAGAGTGATACAACTGCTTGCTTTTTAGTTCTGTGTTCCCATTTCCCCTTCCCGGGGATTTTAACTGTCTTCATCCTGGATTGATCTCCTGTCTTTTGGATAACTGCGCCCTGATTACCCTTTTTGGAGCCCTTTGGACTTGGTTGCCTCCCCCCGTCTATCAGCCCGTCCTGACCCTGCTGTATCTTCCCCTGATGTCCTTCTCCAGACACTTCCGGATTATACCGTCACGCACAGGGTCTTTAACTACGCACTACGTGGGAGTCAGAACCTGCTCCCGTGACATACACTGTGGAAGTATCTGTGCCGGAGCATCTAATTAGTCTGTTTTTCTGGGCTTAACGATTCAGGAAAGGACGATGTTTTAAGAACAGTATTAACATAAAATATCCTAAAAGAGACGCTCAGAAAAATATTTTCCCGCGTGTCAGTTAAAAATAATTTCTTTAAATAAATGTCTTTATCATGAGGTTTCTTGTTTTCTATTTATGATAATAGTTGCGCAATCTCAAAATTGTAATTTGCAATAAAACCAATGGACTTTTATCCATTACAATTGCTCTCATTTACTTGTTTGTTTCAATGTGTCCAATTCTCTGGTAACTGACGTTTTTACTGTATCTCATTTTCATTTGTTTTCAAATGTCTTCCATATTTAGAAGGGAATTCAGTATATGGAGGATTCTCAGGAAATGGTTATAGAGAGATATTGAGAATAACCTTAAAGATGTTATGATACTTATAATAGTAAGCAGGTCTCATACCAAAATATCATAAAGGGTTTTGTAGACATGTCTCAGTTCTCTCTACAGACCTTTGAGGCATTCACACTGGAAGACATTACTAACCTCTTATTCATTTACTTTTGGTATTCTTTTTTTTTCTTAGTTCTTTAAATTGTCATTCTGCACTCAGACTGAAAAAGTGAAATTAATTATGTTGTGTTTATGTACAGTGGATATAAAATTTCAATAAGGGTGTGTAGACATTTTTGAAACAGGTTTTTGTTAGGACTAAATGGTTAAAACATAACCATTATGCCAGAATGGATACAGAAAACCTAATACATGTAGTGTAGGAGAAGTGAATAAAATAATATAGTTTAAGCAAACTTGCAATAGAGAAGTTGGCTTTTGTCTGCTTGCGTTTTTTATCATTGAAGTTGCTGTATTACAAGATTACAATAGCATTAGACTGGTGCTCTTTATTGTTCTATTTGCCCCAGAATTTCCTGCATACTTAGCTAAAAAGATACCACAGTACTCACAATCTTGGACTACAGAAGAGTAATATGTTATCACATATAATAGCTTTCCGCAAGGCCTTCTTTATTGTGTTTGAATGCTGTAAGTTCAGGCTCTTCCTGACTTTTATCAAATAGTAGGTTGTGTATTAAACAAGGTATAATGGGAACAATAAAACAGGAAGTCCATTTACCATTTTCTTTTGTTAATTTCTCATAGACACAGTCACTATGCACCTGATCTGCACTAAGGCTACATAAAACAGCTGTTGCACTTGTGGCTGAAGTGCTGCAACATCGTTGTCCTGTCTAAAAATAAACATTAGTCGCTAATTGCATTACATGTGGGAGTATTTAACTTCTCACTTCAATCAACAAATTACATAAACATTAACATTATTGTGAACAATGGTAAAATTAAGTCTACATAGGTTTACTCTAGTGATTCTTAAGTGTTTACAAGACTCTGGTTCACTGGAATTGTATCACAATAGCAAGTGGTATAACATCATTTTACAGTACACTTTAGGCTTTCTCTTGCAAATTCTATATTTTTGCTGCTCACTAAAAGGCCTAATAAAATTCTCACCTTTTAAAGCTGTTTTGTTTAAGCCAACATTGACACAAATTGCAAATAGTGTTAATAGTTCCACAGCACAGGAAGCTCTTTTATAATGCAGTTAAATTTGATACTAATCATTGTGAAGTAACAACTACCATGTATTTCTGTGGCTGTCTTTCTACATGGGTAGTGCTAGTAGGAGGTTCAGTTTCACCTGTAATGACAAGAAAGGCTCATTGTGTGCTTTTACAGGGATCAGTCAACATGTCTTCAGCTGACTATTTATCTCGGC